GGGTAAACTCTACGGGGGCAGGGACTCTTTTGTTTGCTGCAGATTGCAGTGTCTACAATAGTACCTGACACGTGTAGGCACTAAAGAAATATTTGCCAAATGAATGGGTGAATGATAACTAATCCAGTAATCATAAGTCTGAAAAGTGCTTTGAAGGTGAGGGACAGTGTGCTAAGGGGGTGTCTAATGGAGCAACGGGACCGAGCCAGGAGGGGGATAAGACCTCTCTGAGCAGGCTGAGCTTTAAAGGATGAGTAAGTGTTATCTTGGCAAAAAGTTGGAGGAAGGTATTGCAGACAGAGGGGACAGTACGTGTATCCAAGTGCTCTAATGCAGAAGTGGGTACATGTGTTGGGGAGAATAAGTGGGGGATGGTGGTGGGAAAAAGACAGAAGCAAACCCTCATGGTGCTATTAGAAAGGAGGGGAGGCAGAGCCCACTTCCAGAGCCTGGCGTACCAGTGGCAGATGTGAGGAGTTGGTTTGTGGTCCTGTTTAGGATGCCAAGTGTGGTTTCAGACTTGGCAAGTGGGAAGGGAAAGATATTCTGCAGGCAGCTCTGAGTGTCCAGAGAGAGGTCGGGCTGGAAAGAGAGGGGAGGGTTGTAGGCACTGGAGGGAGTTGAAGGCATGGGAGTTAGATCTTTTTTGGGGGACCTTCGTGGTATAAGGGGAGTGAGACCTTTAAGGGGTGTATAGAAAGAGAACAGTGGAGAGAGGTGAGCAGAACCTGCCAGAAACACCTACATTTACATAAGGAGCAGCAGGAGGCAGAGGAGCTAGCTAAGCAGACAGAGAAGGCCAGAGGCAGGAGATTGGGATGAGACACCCACAAAGAGGCCCAAAGATGAAGACCAGGATACTGGGCCACAGTTCAGGCAGAGAGGAGGGGAGAGGAGAAGAGAGGAGAGGAGGGGAGAAGAGAAGAGAGGAGAGGAGAAGGGGGAGAGAAGGGAAGGGGAGAAGAGGGGTGCGGGTGAGAGGAGGTGGAGGAAGGTGAGAGGAGGCAGAGACGAGAAAGCAGGGCCGCAGGGAAGAGCTCAGGCTCTGCACTGGGGCTGCTTCAGTTCAAACCCCCAGCTCTGGCACTTCCTGGCTGTGAGACTCTTAATCTCTCTGGAACTCAGAGGCCTCACCTGTAAAATGCAGATGGTAACGTGTCTGCCTCAAAGGTTGTTGGAAGGATTCAGCAAGATGACCAGGAGAAATCAAGTGCTCAATAAAGCCTGTGTTTAAAAAGGGAAGGAATGAATGAGTATGAACGAGAAAGGCCTGATCTGTACAGTCAGATGCCACAAGAGGGTCAAGGACAGCGGGTGCTGAATTTCTCGGAGAAAAGGCAATCCCAACGCATTCTCAGAGAGAAGCCTGATCCACCAGATCCTTTGGCAAACTTGCGGCTTCCCGCCCGCATCATCTGGGCTCACTGCAGCTTATCCATCACCGGGCCTGTGACCTTACCACCTCTGGGGAATCCTCCTTGTACCCCAAGTCTGGTTTCCCCTCTCCCCCTCATAGAACCGTGCTCATACTGTCCTGGAATTTTTTTTTGCCTGTTCATCTCCTTCAGCCTGGGGCTCCTGGAGGGCAGGGGCTTTCTGGCACACGCCTGCATGCTGAGTGCCTGGCTCTGAGCAGGTGCTTAGTCAATGAACAAATGAATACACGTCTTTCACCACCTCACTGGAGACTGTTGCTGCTGGTGGTGGCAATCCCACCACAGGGATGAGAGTTTTTTCGGGCAGCTTGCCAGAGAAGAGGAAACACTATTAGCAGCTAAAGGAGTACACAGTGTGAATGCCAAGCGTTCTCCTAAATGAGGAGCTGGCGGTACATTTAGAGGCAGGGCTGGGACAGAGGAGACGCCAGTGAGCAGGAGAGGTGGCTGGTGCTGGAGAGGGGTAAAGCATCTGAGGAGGCTGGGGGAGGGAGGGGACAACAGGTAGGGGAAGAGTTGACCTCGGACAAGCCAGGACACCACTTCTTCTTTGAAAGTTGTAGGGCAGGAGGAAAGGGAGGAGAGGGATTGAGAAATGACCTGGAGGTTCTCAGCAAAATAGGTCTGCTGGGAGAAGCCCCTGAAAAGGGCTGGGGTGGGGGTGTCGGCTGCTGTTGGGATGGAGAAAAGGGCTGGGGTTAGCAGTGACTTCCACAGGAGAGGGGGCACCAACATACTCACAGGAGATCAGAAGGCCCCAGGGCAGCTTCGGCTAAGTCCTGGTTCAGTCCTGGAGAGGCATCTGAGGGGAAAGCGTCTGGGTCTGATGGGACGCAGAGCCCATGCTGGGAGGAAGGGGGTGCTGTGGGGTGTGAGAGGAGCAGCAGCTGGCAGGCAAGCAGGAGTGATGGGACCCAGCTGGGAGGGGACAGCTAAGCTCCTAGGATCAGTGAAGGGACCCTCCAGGAAGGGGCTGAGTGGGGAAATATCTGGAGGACTGGATGGGGGTCTTTGGAGGTGGTTTCTGGGATGAGAAAGTCCAGAGCAGAGCTGTGAAGTGCTACACTTTCCCCTGCTGTCCATTCCTCTCCCACCTCCTGAGCCCTGGGGTCTGAGGCCCCTGGGTCAGGTGTTGAACTGGTACAGGAGGGTCCAGGGTGGGGGCGGGAAAGTGGCCTCTCTGCTCTGCCTGGTGCCTCGAATTCTGTAATGACTGTCATGAAGAGTCACTCAGAAGCTGCATGGGCACCAAGTGAGAGCCCAGCCTATTTCCCCAAGGGGGGCCCCTCCCTGGGCTGGGCGTGGACAGTGACATTAGCTTTCATTGTGACTCCACCCTTCCCCATGTCTTGGCCACGCCCCCATTAGGTTCATCTTTCTCATCCACCAATGGGCTGTGAGCATTGAGGCCACGCCCACTTCACTGTTGCCTAGAACTGCCTGCTCCCACTGGCTCTGGCTCAGTTGAACATCTGCGCCCTTTGCTGAAGGAAGCTATTCCCCGGTGCTTGGATGGTGGTGATGCGCGGCGCACCTTTCCTTTTCTCTGCCCAGAGTTGTAGGAGGAAATGAGACAGAGGAAATTGGCTGTGGCCAAGAAGAAGGTATAACAGGCTGGGTTGTGGCCCCAGACCCAGCCCGAGGCCCCTCCTATGGCAGGACAGGAACTCTGTGTCACTTCTGAGGCATGTGGGGCTCTTGCCCCTCTGCAACTCTTGACTCCCCCAACCAAAGTCTTCTCAGCCATCCCTGTCCCCTCAGAAGCCCAGCCCCTGCCCTTACCAGCTGTCCCCAGGTAACTGGCCAGTAAGGTTACTTCCAGGGCTCCCCACCTGGGTCGGCCCTGGCATCCTGCCACCCCAAACCAGACCTTCCTGGGCTCTCTGGGTCCCCTGGGTTCCTGTCTCCAAGGACCTCGGTCCTGCTCTGTGCTCCCCTTCCCCACGGTGGTGTCGTGACTCTGGCATTAGTTGGAAGGAGTGGAATGTAGTCACCTCACAACCCCACATTCCAAACTGTCCAAATTCCCCTGGGAAGTGTCACAATCCCCCAGGAACTGTCATTACTGCCTGGAGTCCAGTCTTTGATCTGATGACTCAGTCCCCTAAGTGTTTTTACCCCCTTTCTGGCTACTCTGGTCATGGCACAAATTTCCATTTGGAAGGGTACTTGGGACTAAGGGACCCAGGACTGAGAAGTTTCTGCTCCCTTACTCCCTTCACTTAGACATTGACAACGTGAAAAGCCTACACTTCACCAGTGAGCTCAAAATGTTGACAATATCTTTGGGTGACAATTGGGAGAATGAGTTTGTTTGGTTTTCTCCCAGGTTTCTACTCTCTAGACACACTTTACAATTCATTTTTGAGTCTGTATCTCACATGTGAATTCCCTAGGATTCTGGGACCAGAGTACCTTTCAGTCAGTGCTCTCTGGAGGGAGATGTACTTAACTTCTGTGGGATAAATCTTGGGCTACTAAACTTCACAGTTTGAATCTTGCCCAGATCATCTCAATCTGGGGTGCCACAGGATTCATAAGGGGCATCTTTCTGAAGCATCAGCTTTGCTTGATTCTTTTGAGAGAGAAAAAATCTATTAATGTACTTAGGGGTGACATTTGCCTGGATTTGTAAGATCGTAACAGACTTCTCTCTGAAATGATGCTTGGGTTGTCCTTTTTATTAGGTCCCCAGATCCTTAGGAGTGTGCCCTCACCGACTTCTGCCATAAGGATACCTTGATGTAAATGTTTGAGAAGTACTGGTGTGCAGCTCTCACAGCACTGTAAAAGAGAACCCCGATGTCTGATTTGTATTTTGCCCCCTGGCAGCTGCTGATTCATGACAAAGCCCCAGAAGACTGAATTTAAATTCCATTATTGCCTTTTTTTAGTCATGTTATCAATCCATTTCTTCAGCCATTTAGTGATCGTTACAACACATTGTAGGGTTGCTGGTGGCTTTAAATCAGATGGTATAAGTAAGAATATTTTGTAAAACTGTAAATTGGGATGCAAGTATAGGGGCTTACAGATCTCCTGAATATTACTGCTTTTCCTTTTCACAGTTAAGAGATTACCAATGGAGAAACAGCCCTGGTGGTCCTCCGGGAGCAAAGAACAAAATGAAAACTGGCAGTAACCTTGATTCAACCACTTCTGGGGGGTTCCAGTTGCCTAAGGAGGTGAGTCTCAGCTGGTCATGCTCCTGGGAACAGGGGGCTCAAGGGGCAGTAGGGGGTAATGGTAATGATCATGAAAGAAGTGTTGGGGACTGGTTAAGAAGTCTGGGTTTGAAAGCTACCTCTCCCTCTGCTAGGGAAATGATTTAGGACTCTCCTCTGAACCTCCTCCCTTGAAGCTGCACACACAAAGATGGACCACAGGCTTGGCTATCTGATTGGATCCAGCTGCAGGAGGCACAGGATGATGTTGATAACACCAAGTTCCAAGTCTCAACCCCTATACTGGCCACCACCACCAAAAAAAAAAAAAAGTACAGGATAAGAGCTGCTTGAGAGGGAAGTGACGAAGGGGGAGAGAGACCTTGAGAAGTGGGCACAAATGGGGCTACAGGAGAAGGGCCTGGTTCAGGTCAGGCAGGAAAAAAGACTTTTGCCAGTTGATGGGGAAGAAAGGATGTCAGAGGGCTTAGCCATTGAGGGGGACAGAGAGTCTCCACGTGCGTTCTCACCTCTTCTAGCCGACATCATACATCAGTGGGGAGGCCTTTGTGACATCAGTTTACGTGAAGGAGCTGGAAGTAAGTGCCCCTACAGGACAGCCTCTTGACTACCTTCCATGGAAGGGGCTGGGTACTTCACCACCAACTGAGACAGCCACCACCCCCACTCCTAATGATCTCTCTCTCTACCTCTCCCCCCAGACCTCCTCCAAATCCTCCTCTCTGCATGCGCCTCAGAACCGGTGCCTAGATCTGGCAGTAGCCCTGTATTCCAGCTATGTAGAAAACAAACATCAAAGGAGCATGATCCAGGAATTGATAAGAGTCCAGTGGGGTCCCCTGATTCCATGCTGCCAATCTTGGGCTCCAATTTCCCCTTGGCTCTCTGAAGAAAGGGACTGGGGGCCCCTGGTGCCAAGGGAGAATGTGGTGCTGGGGGGCCCAGGTCTCAGAGGGAGGGACCCCAGACCATGCAGCATGGCTCTTTCTGTTGCTGCCCTGTCTGCCCACTCTCTCTTCTCCAGACATCCCAGCTTGAGTCCTTACCACACATGCCCTGGGCTGTCCCCCTGCTGGAAACACTAGGATGACTGTTGTGAGAAGCCTGTGTTCCCACCTTGACTTAGTTCCTGCTTTGCTTTGTCTTTGGTTTTGGACAAGCCAACTCTCCTGCCTGGGCCTGAGTGTCCTGAAATAGAATAGAGGGTGTCAAAGGTCCCTTTCACCTCTAAGAATGAAAGATTTCTAGGCACACTTGAAACATCAGGGAGAAAGGGATCTTGCCTGTCCTTTTCATTCCTGGATCCCTGCTATTAAGAACAGTCCCTGTCCCATAGTGTGTGGTTTGTGGTGAATACATGCAATCTTGTGAATCACAAGCTGGGAGAAGGGTAGTCTTTCCTTTCTCAGCCTCCATTTCTAGAGGTTTCTTTGGCTGTCCTTTAAAGAGTTTCCAGATTCAGACATTCAGCTCTGTAGCTGGGAGTGAAAACCAACAGAGACCCAAAGTCTCTTTCCTTTGGAGTTCGAGGAAAGTTTGTCAATTTGCATCCGCATACAGTCTGAGAGATTTTCCTTGAAAATCCATTCCTGTCTCCTGCCCACCACTCTGTTCTGGGGAATGGAGTCAAGGGGGACAATCTCAGTCACTTTCCTATGATTCTCCACATAGAAAAAATAGCACCAGGAAACTCTGGATCAACTTGAAAGAGGAATATGATTTCTTTGTTCACTCATTCCATGTCTGATGGGTTTGGGGAAAGACTCAGATGGAGAGGCTGCAGGCTTGTCTTGCCCACTCCCAACCGGGACAGGGCTCACCCTCAGCACCCCACCCTCAGCCCCACAAGGTCCCTGAGAATCTGATCTCACTGATGAGCCTGTCCTGGGCCATTGGTGGCATTCCTGGGGCCTGTCCCTTGCTGTTGCATCTCTGCCTCCCCAGTAAGGGATGTTTCTTTCCTCTTCCCATAGCAGGAGAGTAGGTGTCAGCAGGCGAACTCCTTGTGGGAACAACTGCAAGTGAGTGGAGTATATGGCATCCCTCGCATCCCATAGAGAACCTTCCTTTCCCTCTCTCTCAGCACCTGTTTGGCTTTTCTCACAAAGGCTCATATTCAGACCACTGATGTCTTAATGTTTGAAAAGGCATAGTTACAGAGAGCCCTGGCCAATGCTCACCATGCAGTCTGGCAGAAAACAGGTGTGAATCTGGGCATTCTTCCTCCCTCAAACTGGTGCCTTGGCAGGCCTTTCAGGGAGTCCTTTGGGCTCCATCTTGACCTCTGTCATTCCAGGGGAGTGTGAACATCTGGTGAGCTGCCTGTGCTCATGTGAGCAGGCTGCCTGTGCTCAGTGAACATCTGGTGAGCTGCCTGTGCTCATGTGAGCAGCAGATAAAAGAGCTGCAGTGAAATCTGACTGCTGTTTCCCCACAACAGAAGGAGGCTGAGAGGGTGAGTCCAGACACTTGCCCTCATGCTTGTGCCTCCACCCCCAGGCAAAAGATGGGCTTAGAGAATTAGATAGAACTGGATGTTCACATGCCAGCTGTAGGTGATCTTAGCAGTTAACCTCTAACACTTTGTATTTCATCTACAAAATGGAGATAACAATAGTAACTTTCTCCTATGGTAGATAGGTAAGCTGGGGCTGGGGTGGCCTGGGAGCAGGTGGGGGGAAGAGAAAGAGGTTTGCCTCAGCAGACAGCAAGTCTGCTCATCTGAGCCTCAGTGTCCCTGTCTGCAAAGAGGGGTGGAGTGCCCATTGCCAGCCACCCACAGTTGTCTTGAGCACAAGAATGTGAAGAACTCTATTTGAAAGTGGTTTGAATGATTGACCATCATCTGGGCATGAGGAATGATTAGCCGGGAAGCCATGGTCTGGTGCTAGGAGACTGAATTAGGAGCTATGGGTCAAGCAGCAGGTTCTGTGCAACTCAAAAGGCCAGTGGCCCTTATCATCCAATTCCTTTCTCAGCTGATTCTCCATCCCCAGAGCCCCCAGCAGGACCCAGTGAGGAAGAACAGTGGCTGCAGGTGGAGGCTGAGCAGCTGCAGAAGCAGCTGGAGAGCCTGGCAGGTCAGTTCCAGGCTCAGGTAAAGGACAATGAGGGTCCGAGCCACCTGAACCAGGAGCAGGAGGAGCAGCTGCTGGAGCTGGGGTGGGCTGCTGGGCTCTGAGGCAAGCAGCACAGACAGATGCTGGAAGGCACGCAGCACCACCATGTCACCACCAGCTGCTTGCTGTCCCAGGCCCATGAGCTCCAGGAGCAGCTGGCTAAGCTATAGACTAGCTTCATCAGGCTGGTGTGCCACCAACCCTGCCAGCCTGCCCTCCACCCTCACCCCCTGGGCCTTTGTTTCCCCACCTATAAAATGGGGTGATGGAGACCACACATGAAATGGTACCTGGGAAGGAACCCTGTGAGCCAGTGCCCTGTGTCCCCTTCTCTGCTGTGGGACTCCAGCTGCATCAGGTAGCCAGTGATTGCTTCTCTCCATCCAGACCAATTAGAATATGGAGGTCACCAGTGCACTGCAGTCAGTGCAGCATGTGAAGATGGAACTGGCTGTGAGGTTGGGCCAGAAAAGAAAAAAACCAAAATAAGAAGAAAAGAAAAAAGAAGAGGAAAACATCAAGAAGAAGGAAAAAACACCAAGATGAAGGAAAAAAACACCCAAAAGGTGAAAATACCCAAAAGAAGAACAAAACACCCATAAAAGGAATAAAACACCCAATATAGGAAGAAAACACCCAGAAGAAAAAGAAGACATCGATAAGAAGAAGAAAAGAACCCAAAAAGGAAGAAAACCCCAAGCAGAAGAAAACACACAAAATAGGAAAACACCCCAAAAAAGAAGAAATTACCCAAAAGAGGAAGAAAACACCCACAAGAAGAAGAAAACACCCACAAGAAGAAGAAAACACCCCAAACAGGAAAACCCCAGCAAAAAGAAGAAAACCACAACATAAAAAAACCCCAAAAGAAGACAACCCCAACAAAAAGAACCCCAAGAGAAGGAAGAAAAATCCTCCAAAATAAGAAAACCCCAACAAAAAGAAGAAAATCCCCATAAAAGAAAAAAAACCCAAATAGAACAAAATCCCAGTGAAAATTCCAACAGAAAGAAGAAAACCCCCTATGAAAAGAAGAAACCTCCACAAAAAAGAAAAAGATCTGCCCATGAAAACAAGAAAAATCCCCAGAAAGTCCCCAAAGAAGAAAACCTCCACAAAAGAAAACCCCAGCAAAAAGAAGAAAATCCCAGCAAAAAAGAAAAATCCAACAAAAAGAAAACACCCCCAAAGAAGAAAACCCCAACAAAAAGAAAACTAAAATAAAGAAAACCAAAAACTCCCCAAGAATAAAACTCCCACTAAAACAAGAAAACCCTAACAAAAAGAACCCCCCCAAAAAGGAACCACCCCCAAAATGTAGAAAACTTCCCCGAAAAGAAAACCACAATGAAAAGAGGAGAACCAAAAAAGGAGAAACAAATAAAGGAGAAACAAAAAAAGAGGACAGAAAAATACAAAAAACAAAACAACACAACCCCCCTACAAAACCCAGAAAAAATACAACGAAGGAAAACAGTAAAGAGAGAGAAAGAGAGAAGGAAAAAACCATAAAAGAGAAACGAATAAATAAATAAATAAATAAATAAATAAATAAATAAATAAATAAATAAATAAAAAGACAACAGGAAAAAAAGAAAGAAAACAAAACAAACAAAATAGAAATGAAAGCAGCAGGGTGCCCTTACCAGTAGTCCAGCCTCAGGGGCCCATAGCGGAAAACCAGTGCAATGGATCCCTTGGGCAGGCCAAACCAGGGAGCCCTACGGTCAAGCCAGGGCAGGGTGGTCTTTAGTGCCAGGGCAGGCCAAGAAAGCACTTAGGGCAGGCCTTTCAGGCCAGGGGTGCCCTTAGTGGCAGGCCAGGCCAGATAAAGCTGGGGGGGCGGGTCTTAGAGGAAGTTCAGGCCAGGCCAGGTGGGGCCATTAGCACCAAGACAGTCCAAGGGTTCCCTGAACAGACCAGTCAAAGGGACACTTAGCACACTTAGGTGTGCCTTTAGCAGCAGGGTGGCCCTTATGGCAGTGGTCTGCTAGGGGCAGACCAGTAAAGGGGGCCATTTGGCAGGCCAGGCCAGTGGGTTCCTTGGGCAGGGCAGGCCAGGCCAGCCCTTAGTGGTAAGAGGCCTTAGTGGTAAGAGGCCTTTGGCAGCATGCCTGGCCAGGGCAGCTCTTAGTGTCAGGCAAGGGCACATGGGCCCTAGGGGCAGGCTAGGCCATGGGGGCACTTAGTGGAAGGCAAGCCCAGGCAGGATCACCCTTTGCACCAGTCCAGGCCAGGACAGAGGTGGCCCATAGTGCCAGACCAGGACAGGCCAGCAGGGCCCTGGAGACAGGCCAGGCAGGGCCAGGGATGCCTTAGGAGTAGTCCAGGCCAGGTAAGAGGGTACTTGGGGTAGGCCTACCTGACTAGGGGAGCCCTAGTGGCAGTCCAGGCTAGGCCACAGGGGCCCTAGGAGCAGGTCAGGCCAGTCTAGAAGATCCCTAGAGGCAGGTCAGGCCAGAGGGGCCCTAAGGGCAGGCCAGCCAGATAGGCCCCTTAGTACCAGGCCAAGGAAGCACTTAGGGCAGGGCTGCCAAGCCAGGGGGGCCACGGGGGGGCCCAGGAGGGCCAGGATGTGCCAAGGAAGCACTTGGGGCAGGCCTGGCAGGCCCTTAGCAGAAGGAGGTCCTTAGCAGCAGGGGAGCCCTGAATAGTAGGTCTGGCCATGGAGGCCCTTAGCACTGAGTACGCTAGGCCAGGGGGGCCCTTAGTGCCAGGTCAGGCCAGGGAGGCTCTGAGGCAGTGGGTCTCTGGTGCAGGCCTGTCCAGGCCTATCCTTAGTGGCAGTGGGGCCATTAAAAGAAGGCCTGACCAGGGCAGCACTTAGTGGCAGGGCAGGTGAGGCCAGGGGATCTTTTAGAGGAAGGTCAGACCAGGCCAAGGGGGCCCTAGGATGACTTTCTTTCTTTCTTTCTTTCTTTCTTTCTTTCTTTCTTTCTTTCTTTCTTTCTTTCCTTCCTTCCTTCCTTCCTTCCTTTTCTTTTATTTCTCCTTCCCTTCTCTCTTTCTTCCCTCCCTGCCTGCCTTCCCTCCCTTCGTTCCTTCCCTCCATTCTTGCCCTCCCTCCCTTCTGCCCTTCCCTCCCTTCCAGCCTGCTCTTCTTCCCTTCTTTCCCTCCCTTCCTTCCTTGCCCCCATTCCTGCCTGCCCTACCTTCCTGTCTTCCATCTCTTCCTTCCTTTCCTCCTTTCCTGCCTTTTCTTCCTTCCTTATCTCTCTTCCTTTACTTCTTTCCTTCCTTCCTTATTTCTTTCTTTCCTTCCTTCTTTCTTTGTTTCCTTCTTTATTTCTTTCCTTCCCTCCTTCTTTCCTTCTTCCTTTTCTTTCTTTCCTACTCTTTCTTTCCTTACTACTCTTTCTTTCTTCCTTCCTTCCTTCCTTCCTTCCTTCCTTCCTTCCTTTCTTTCTTTTTTCTTTCTTTCAGGCCCTAGGGGACACAAGCCAGGGGAGCCCTTACTGGAAGGCCAGACAAGGCCAGAATAGGGGGTTACTTAGAGGCAGGCCAGTCCAGGCCAGGGGGGCCCTAGGAGGGCTCTTTCCTTCCTTACTTCCTTCCTTCCCTCCCTCCCTCCTTCCCTCCTTCCTTCCATCCTTCCTGCCCTCCCTTCCTGCCCACACTTCCTGCCTTCCCTTCCCTCTCTCCTTGCCTTTTCTCTCTTCCTGCCTTCCCTCCCTGCCTTTCCTCCCTTCCTATCCTCCCTTTCTGCTCTCCCTTCCGGCTCTCTCTTCCTGCCTTCCTTTCCTTCCCTCCCTCCCTTCCTTCCCTCCCTCCCTCTTCCTTCTTTGCATTCCTGCCTTTTCTTCCTTCCTTTCTTTCTTTCCTTACTTGTTTCTTTCTTTTCTTTCATTCTTTCTTTGGGGGCTCTTTCTTTCTTCCTTCCTTTCATTTCTTCTATCTTTCTTTCCTTCCTTCCTTCTTTTCTTCCTTCTTTCTTTCTTTCCTTCCTTCTTTCCTTCTTCCCTTCTCTCTTTCCTTCCTTCTTTCTTCCCTTCTTTCCTTCCTTCCTTATTTCCTTCTTTCTTTCTTTCTTTGGGATCTCTCTCTCTCTCTCTCTCTCTCTCTCTCTCTCTTTCCTCCCTTCTTTCCTTCTTTGTTCTAGCCTGCCTATATCCCTCCTGGCCTCCCCTGCCATTAACAGGAAGGAGGCCCTGGCCCAACCTCCCCTTTGGCCCAAAATAAAGAAAGAAGAAAGACCCCCAGTAGGGCACGCCCAGCCTGGCCTGCCTCTAAGAGACCCCCTGGCCTGGTCCGATCTGCCACTAATGGTACCCCTGGACTTTCCTGGACTGCCACTAATGGTCCCTGTCCAGGCCCTCTGCTAAGGACCCCACTGCCACTATGGGTGACCTTGACCAGGTGGACAGAAGAGACCCACTGGCTGGGCCTGCCTCAGGTCTATGCTGGCCTGGCCTGCTTCTAAGAGACCCCCAGGGCAGGCCAGTCCAGTCCAGGGAGTCTCTTACAGGCAAGCAGGCCAGGCCAGGGGGGCCATAGTACCAGGATAAACTAGGCCAGGTGATCTCTTAGAGGCAGGCCAGGGGCTCTCAGCACCAAAACGGGCCAAGGGGGCACAGGGACAGGCCATTCAAGGGAGGCACTTAGTGGCAGGGGTGCCCTTAGCAGCAGGGTGGGTCTTATGGCTGTGGTCTGCTAGGGAAAGAACAGTAAAGGGGGGTCCTATGGCAGGACAACCAGTGGGTTCCTTGGACAGGACAGGACAGGCTGACCCATAGTGGTAGGAGGCCCTTAGCAGCATTCCAGGCCAGGGCAGCCCTTAGTGGCAAGTGAGGACACAGGGGCTCTAGGGGTGAGTCCAGGCCATCGTGCCCTTAGTGGCAGGCCAGGACAGAGGTGGCCCACAGTGCCAGGCCAGCAGGGCCCTAGGGACAGCCCAGGACAGGTCAGGAGGGTCCTTGGCTCTGAGCCAGGCTGGGCCAGGCCAGCAGGGTCCCAGGGATATT